CATAGGCTGGGGCATCAGCCTCTTGTCTTCTCCAGTGATGTTGAGGGGTAGTAGGGTGTGGATATTTTTAGTGGGATGAAAAGGGCTGGATCAAGGTCACTCATGACACCTTTCAGCCTGGGTAGGAAGGTGATATGGTGTCGGAAAAAAGAGACCTTGCATCCTGATCTTTGGATCAGGGAGTTGGAGGATGGCATCACGGGAGGTGGGGAGACCCTGTTCTTGTTTTAGTCAAGAGCTACTCTCTCCTCAAGCACTAGGGGGAGCTCCTGAAATCAGAAATCCAGCACAGCATCCTACCTCTGTCCCCATATACTGCAGAAATCCCACTGCTTTGAAACAGCCCCCCCGAATCTGAACTTGTTTAGTGTCCTCGTGGGCTCTTGTTTTCTCATTCTGCTTCTAGACTCTGAGTTCAGAAGACTTGGTTTATGTTGCTTGCTGCACCCCCAGTTCCTAACAGTCTGCCTGGCCCAAGATGGGTGACATCTGGGTTTCCTCTGACTGTGGTAACCAACAAACCACAAACGCCATGGCTTAAAGACACATGAATGTGTTATCTTCGGTCCTGGAGCTCAGATGTCCTGAATGGGTCTCGTGGGACTAAAATCAAGGTGTTGGTAGAGCTGGTTCCTTCTGAGTTTCATGGAGTTTATCCATTCTCTCACCTCTCCCTGTTTCTGGAGGCGGAGCCAAGGAGGGCTGGTGCCTCGGTCTCTTCTTGGCTCTTCTCAGACAGAAGGAGGAGGCCTGAGCAGTTTGGGATGCATCGAATGGAGTGGAGGGAAGATGGTCTTGATTGGAAGCATCCAGCTTTCTCCCACATGGACTTTGCATTCCAGCTTTATCACGATGCCGTAGCAATAACTGCTTCTTTGCAGTGTTTTCTCTGTGAAATGGGAATGAAATTGGCAGTTGTTTATCAAGCCTCCCTCCATGTGATCTGGATTTTTAAAAATCCTCATTTTGTTGTTTGCTTGTCTTGGACAAGTGGCACGACTCCTTGCTTTCCTGTTGGTGAAACCAAAGCAAATGAGAACGGCTGAATACTCCATGTGCACATCCACTAATGACATCCTCCATGAGACTATTTTAAAAAGTTCTGAAGGTTTTTTTTTATAAGAGGTTTTTTTTTTTTACACATTTTCTCATAAACTTGTGAAAGACTCCTTACATGCATGGATTTCAAGAACTTTTGGTGCCAGATAAACTTATTTAATTTCATTTTCTGCAAACATTTTGAACTGCACTCAAAAGGATATCAATATATAAAAGCTTTGTTGGCAATAGTGCTTGGCACGCATGGTGACACTCGAGCAAAAAGAGATCTGCTGCTGTTTTACTTATTTCAAATCTTCCTTCCGCCCTTCCTCCTCCTTTTCTTCAGCTTATCACAGCATTGACCAGGAGTCTACAACCTTAGGTTTTACCCACACCTGACTTGTCTGTTAGCCTGATTTTTAAACCCTGCAGCTGGAGTCTTTCATGATAGAGCTGTGTGTGGTGTGGATGCGGCACTGATGCTGATTCCTTCTCTTGGACGTTCAGTTTGTGTCTGACCACCAAAATGGTGTCAAGGTCAGGCTTGGACCCTGTCCTCTATTCAGAGGCATTTCTGAGAGAACCACTTCCTGCCTTGCAACTCTGTCCCTCTCCGTGTACTAGAAATGAAAACATCTCAGAAAAAAAAAAAAAACAGCTACAGTTTTACCCCTGAGACTGAAGGCACCAGGGATGTAGGGAATTATGCCTCCCCTGTCTGCATGGCTTGTTATCAGAAAATGAGAATAGAAAGGCTTTTGATCAGCTAAGGAGACATCTTAATAGGTGCTTTGATTGTTAAACAGAAGTTTCTATATCAGTTTAATTGCTATAAATGTTGTTTGCTTTCTCTGTTATGATAAGGGCTGGATTTTCATAGATTTTTCTGCCTTTCCTTTCAACAGTTTTCCTTTGCTTTAAGACTTGCCTTGGCAAGTTTAATGAAATCCAAACAAAGAAAGGAAAGAGAGGACCTCCAAGTTCAGCTCTGCACACCCACGTAGGAAGCTGTGTGCAGGTTATTATTGCTTGGGACTAATGATGCTGCAGCGCTTAATGTAATTGACAGAAGTCACCCCTTCAGCCTGATGTGGGGAAATGGAACCAAGTTCCTGAACTTAATTGCATCTACTTTTTTGAAAAGGTGCTATAATCGAGAGTAACAGAGTAACTAGGATATGAATCTTATTGCGAGATATGCTCGTAATAAAAGAGGATCTGTTCTCTGCTCCCTTGAGCTTCTAAAGATCCGTGTTTTTTTTTTTTTTTCGATTTTGGTGGGGAGGAGTGGTGGGCTTCTGGTGATCAGGGAGGAGTTGGCTAGAGAGGCAGAAAAACAGCGGCATCAGGACTTGTCAGCATTGATGCTATTGACCTTGGGACCAATTAGTGCTTTGTGGTGAGTGGCACCCATTCTGTGTATTATAGGATGTTGAACAGTGTAGATGCTGATAGTGTGAGCACACAGGTTCGTAGTGTGATTACCCCAAACATCCCCAGACATTGCTAACTGACCCCTGAAGGACAAAAGCTCCTCCAATCGGGAGCACCAGGGCAGGGGTTCCCAGAGTCCTTTGCAGCAGTTGTAGTTAATGTTTCCAGAGTCAGCTCATGCCTCGCTAGGGGAGCTGTAGCAAGCCACTGCACATCTCAGAGTTCCTTTTGACAAACAGTGGAAATTGCAATAGCCCTGACCACATGGGGGCATAAAATGCACAGCTTACAGCCTACCACCTGTTGAATGATCCACAGACTCAGCGTGCTGCCCTAATTGTCTCAAACACAGCAGGCATGTTGGAAGCACTCACTTGAGTGCAGGTGCTATGCTGTGAGTTGGTGGTGCCAAGATGAGCATGTGGGTGGTTACCAGTGTTGCAGAGGTGGTAAAGATATGTGCCTTGGTCACGGCCACCTCGTGCTCCACTCACAACGGATGTTGCCAGTGAATCTTGGGGCTCTGTCCTATGAATCCTCAACCCAACTCTCCAGTCGGCCACTTGGGACTCCTGGTTCTGCAGATCCCCCGTCAGGCTCACTGTTTCCCTCCAGCACAGCCTTCCCAACTGCGACCACCCGTGGCACTGCAGATCACGAGCTGTCTGCTGCCTCTCATGTCTGACTTCTGTCCCCAGAGGAGACAGGCATGAGAAAATCACTCTTTTTGAACTGCCTTGTTTTGTTTCCCTCTGAAACCAAAGCCAGTAGTAACACTGAGCTTGATGACATTTAGTTTTTAGTTAAACCAGAGGAGACCCTGCAGGCCATGACTCTGATAGATGTATCATGCTCTCTCTGGAGTCTTTGTGTATTTTTTCCATGCCCTTTGGGGCTTGGAAAATCATTAACTCTCTCAGAAAGGCTCCCAGACTTATGAGGGCAGAGCTGGGGCTTGTGGAAACAGCTATCATATGGCTGCAGACAGTGTCATTAGAGCTGAGAGAGGAGCAGGGGCTGGGGGTTATACACTCCCTGATTAGTTCTGACATGCCCAGCTCCTAAGGAGCTGCTACCAGTTGCATAACAATTGGTGTGAAAAATGAGGCTCTGGCTACAGCTTGGGAGTTGGCTCCATCCGTCTGGCCTGAGAAATGAGATCCGGCAGGAGCGGCAGCCCCTTGCTTCTCTTCTTGCTGGAGGAGAGTCTGCAGGCAATGCTAGGTTGCTTCCGCTGCCGTGTCACACCTCTGTGTAGAGCGTGGTGCCAGCAGTTGGGCCACAGGGTGCAGTTTGGGGTCTAGTCCTGTTGTGTCTGCTAGAGATGACCATAAGCTCCATCAGGGATGGAGTGAGAGGGCAGCTCACTAGGAGTGAGCCAGAGACATGGAGGAACAGACCAAATGGTGAGAGGGACCCAGTCTGGTTTAGTGGTTCTTCTTCATTCCCCTTTGCTCATACCACTCCATGAATCCCCTTGCACATCTATCTGTTCATTCACTATCTGCATGCGAATCTATCCATGTGCTCAGCAATTACTGATCCATTCACCTGCCTGTCCATCCATCCATCCATGCACCCACCTACCAGTCCATCTCTGCCTTCATCCATTCCATTCACTCATTAATCCACCCACCCACCCACTTGTCATCCATCCATCCATCCATCCACCCTCTCACTCATCCACCCATCTACCCAGATATCCATTCACTCAATGATCCATCTCCTTAGTCTAGTATGACTTTAGGGAGCACATGGTTCAATGTTTTTATTTGCGTATTTTATTTGTGTGTGCATGTGTGTGCGTGTATGTGTGTGTGTGTGTGTGTGTGTGTGTGTGTGTGTGTGTGTGTGTGTGTGAGAGAGAGAGAGAGAGAGAGAGAGAGAGAGAGAGAGAGAGAAAGAGAGAAATCAATACAATAGGTGGATACATTGTTTCGCTCCCCAAATGCTCTCAATTCTGACCCAAGCCAGGAGCCAGGAACTCAGTTTGGGGCTCCATTGTGGGTATCATGGACCTACTTAGGGCATCACCTGCTGTCTGTTTTCTAGGGTGCACAGTTGTGGAAGCTAGGATTGGACTTAAACTCAGGGACTCTAGTATAGAATGTTCCTGTGAAATAGATAATATGTAACCAACAAAACCGTAGCACACATCCTGGATTCAGCTGGGATGTATGGCTGCTGTGCAGTGACATTGTCCCTCCAAGCTGTATCTGTTGACTGGCAGTGCCAGCAGACCCTGCTCTGGGGTAGTTTGAAGGATGCCATGAGCTCAGGCACATGAGTCAGCCTGGAATGGATGCTCACTTGTGTTCTTACGACTTCTGCCTTCAGGGCACCCCTGGTGGCGCTGCCCTCACCGGAGCAGGATCACAAGTGACACCAGGGTTCCTCTTGGCTCTGGCCTAGCAAGCAATGATGCTTGGTATCCTTCCCAAGGCCACCAATCCTTCCTGTCCCCTCTAGGGCATGGCCCTCTGGATCTCCATGTAACGAGCTCCTCTCCCATCTTCTCGCTGCAGACACGCTGTCCGTGCCACGCTGGTCCCCACAGATCCCTCGCCGAGACCTTGGCAACTCCATCAAGCACAGGTAGGTGGGCTCACCATGGGCTCCAGTGCTCTCTCTCCTTGTGCTCCTATGTCCCCATGCACCTCCTGAACCAGAGGACTGGGCTATTTCATACCAGCTCTCGGAGAAGTATCTCACAAGCCTCACTAGCCAGGCTCATCTGTGTACTCATCCCAGTTTTTGCAACTTTGAGCGTACTACTGACTCTCTGATGCTGTATTGCTTTCATCAGATGATTCAGTCTCTCTGTGGGGTGGTTGCAGGGAGGGGATTCAAGAAGGCCATAGATACAAACGTGGAATGAACAGCATCATTGTTAGGATGATAGCTCTAGCTCTGGATTCTGGGTTTCCCAACCTGGAAGATGCAGGATTGCAGGCTGCACTCAGAGGTGACCAACCACTCATTGAGGTCCTGGGAGTCCAAGGGATTCAACCCTGTCAGGTGCACAGAAGACATCTCCCATCCTGGGAACGAGGATTGTATCTGCTAATTGTCCCTGCTAAGAAGTTCTTGAGCTTTGCAAAGTCAGCTTGCTGCATTTTGTCTCCTTGTCCACACAATCTCCTCACAAATTCCATGAAACCAAGTCTGGTTCTTCCCAGTGGACAAAGGGTAAACTGAGGCCCTGGGAAAGCTTTCTGTACAGAACCTGCTGGCAAGCCTCCCGAGGAACATGTGCACTCACTCTGGAGTCTTTGGAGGGTTGCTAGAAGTTCGACGTGAGGGTCACAGCATTGAGCAAAACTGAGCCCTGCTCCCTTGGGGAGCTCGGGGTCTGGGGGTAGAGGGAGGAGGGTAGTCAGACCAGGGCTGTGCCAAAGTGTCAGGGGAAGAGCTCCGGGCAAGACCGGAATGAGCACTTGGTAAAATGGCATCTTATCAACAGTTTCTGGAGAAGAAACTTGTTGACAGCAAGAGTTGTTCTGACTCAAATGAGAACACATTGGAGGAGGCAGTGAGAACTGTGACAGATGCGACAGTGGTCAGGCGATGAACTGTGACGAGAAGGGCCCCCAGAGGCCACAGCCTTTCTGTTTTGGCTCCTTCACTGGCCTGACCCTGCTCAGCTCCACCTCAGGCTTGGCCGCTGCTAGTTCAGCTCTATCCTGGGACTGGTTCCTCCCTGCGGACTAGCCCCATTCTGACCCATTACCATCACTGGTTTGGCCACAGCTCCCCGCAGCCCTTCTGCCCCACTAGCCACGCTCCTGACTCCACTGCATCCCTGGATTAGTCATGTCCCTGGTTCACTTCTACCCTGGCACTAGTCCCACCCATGGCTCTAGGCTGCCCCTGGCTGGGCCACATCCCTGGATTAACCCCACCCCCAGGCTAGTAAACCCTGATGTAACCTGATCCTGGTGCAACCTCAGGGTCAGCTGCTGATGTCTGGAGGGACACAGCCTACTTATCTTGAGCATCTGAAGGGGTACCACTCGTGAGTTGTCAGCAAGAGATCTTCATTTACCCTAGCCTTGGAGAAGAAGTGAAATGAAATCCCACCTGCTTTCATAAGTCCCCCAGGCCAGAGCAAGGGATGAGGGAGAGGGAAAGCTGAGCCCCAGATGCAAGGGGGAAGTGCCTGGCACTCCTTGCTTATAACACAGGACTTGCCTCACAGCCCCGCTGCCTGCTGACAGGCAAAGCACATACCCACTCATTCTCTCCAGTGCCACCACATCCTACAAACCAGATCCCATAAACTCACTGGCCATGCCAAATACACCAAGAGCAGACATCACCAAACCCCATGTCCAGAGCTGAAGGAAAACTGTCTTGACCACCAGCATCTCTGCTGGGGATGCTGCTCCTTGCTTAGCTCTGGGGGCTTCGGGCCGTGGCTTGCTCTGTTTGGAGAGTGACTAGCTGGGATTAGCAGGAAGTACCAGCCAGCCATGCTTTGCTGCCTTCCCTCCAAACCCTCAGGCCCCAGTTGCATAATCACTTCCAATTTCCCTTTTGACACTCGGGTGGCAGTAGAGATTAGATACAACTCCTGCTGATGGGGACACAAATTGAAAATTAAAATTAACTGTAACTCGGCAACCTTTGGTACCTCTCTGGGACCGAGCCCTGCCTCAGCCTCCTATCTCCTGGGGAACAAAGTGTCTCCAGATGCCTCCAGGAGGGGCCAGGCAGTTAACCTAAGGCACCTCTACTGTTGGCTCTAACTTTATGTGGAGAACCTCCAAGCTGGCTGGTGTTTGCAGTAGGCGGTGTTTTCAGGGAAGGGAAGTGAGTTAAGGGACGTTTTTTCTGCCATTAAAGTTGGGGGGCCAGTTCTTCTGAGAGGAAAGCTACCCCCACCCCCACAAACGTCAAGTCATCCATGTGATACCACCAACAGTGATGGTGCCCTGCTCAGCTGGGCTCCTGGGAGCCCCTACCTGGCTTCATGTCTGTCTGAGGGCAATTCCAGCCCCATCTATGGCTCTGTCCTGGACCTAGACTCGGTACACCAAGCAGATATGTACCAGAGGCAGTCATGAGCTAGGTCATGTTCAAATACAGTCAAATATGGCCAGAAACCAGTTCTCCCAGGGCTTTCTGTAACAGGTGCTGTGTGAAGCTCTTGAACCGTATAGCATTGTTTCATCCTCCGAGCCACCCAGGAGGTTCTTGCTAGTATTAGCCCCACTTTACAGATGAGCAAAACCAAGGCTTCAATGGTATAAGGTATTTAAATTAGCCAGAAGCAGTGGAACTGGAGCCTGGGGTCCAGATGATTATCCTGGGAGGCTTGCATCCTCCCAGCTATGGGTTGGTCGCGTCCCCTTACCCTTGATCACCTTCTGTCTGTTTCCCACAGGTTCTCCACCAAGTACTGGATGTCTCAGACATGCACAGTCTGTGGCAAAGGGATGCTTTTTGGCCTCAAGTGTAAAAACTGCAAGTAAGTGGCTGTGCCTCAAGTGACTTTCTGTGTACACGTGGCTGGTGTCCATGGAAGCCTGGAACCATCCCGGGCTCAGAAGTCACTCACACAAGTTGGGATCCTTGACTCTCAGGAGAGTTGTCCATTTTTTTGTTTAGAACCGGGTCTTCCATGAAGCTCTTGATTTGAGTAGGGGGTCGGGAAGAGCGTTTTGAGGATGGGCCAGAGGTGATGGAAGCTTCTGGACATGCATCATGCTCTGGGCTGAGGCACAAGGACACCTCCCATTTTGGTAGCATCTGGGGCCAGAGGTTGGTGAGCTTTTCCTCTGGTGGACCCAGAGAGTCAACAGTCTAAGCTTTGGGGCCATGGGACTGCCATGTCGCAGTGTCTCACCTCTGCTCCATTGGCCACAGACACTACAGAAAGGAGTTGGTGTGACGAATGTATTTATTCTCTTTAAAGGAAAATTCCTCAGTCCAGGTATGTCAAGTGGAGTTTATTGGAGGAAGGCAAAACCAAGTCAAGGACGACTCACAAATGAGGCACCTCTTAGAACCAGAGCAGGTCCTAGAGAGTCCAACCAGCCAGTCACGAGACAGCACGTGCAGCAAGGAGGTGGGAAATGGGAAGCTAAAACTGATGATAATCTGGTCAGTCTGCCAACTGTTCTCAGCTTAACCTACCATCCTCTTATGCCTGATTTGGCAGCAGGGTGCTCATCAGCCCAAGCTTTCCCCGTATTTAGACTCTGTCACAGTGCTGGACTCAGATCCATGGCTTCCTAGAAAGCCTTTCATAAACTGTCCCAACGAAGCTTTCTTTTGCAAGGTAGGTGCAGTTTGCCTCTAACTTTCAGCCATGGTTGGCTGATCCCGGAGCCAAGTCGTTTTCTTCTTATGGTGCCAGTCTGAAGGATTGTTATCATCCCCACAAACACCCATTTTACAGATTGGTAAGCTGAGTCTCGGCAAAGAATAGTCCCAGCTAGGAAGTGGCAGTCAAAATTTGATTCCAAATCTGTTACTCCTGTTCTCACTTTCTGTGGCCTCAGGGTGGTCTCGAGTTCTTGTGAAAAGGCTGGGAACTCTAGGCTCCCATGTCCCTCCTCCTCTGCTTATTCCAGGTCCTGGCTGGCAGAAGGAAGTGTTAGGAGGCAGGATAAAACTGGGGCAGCTCACATGAGCCCTGGTATCAGACTAAACTGAATTCAGTTTAGTTTTTGAAAGAGAGATGGAAAGATAGAGAGAAAGAGATCTTCTATCTGCTCGTTCTCTCCCCAAATGGTCGTCATGTGCCAAGCAGGAGCTGGGAACCTGGAACCCCAGCTTGATAGGTAGCAGGGGCCCAGGTGCCTGAACCGTTCTCTGCTGCCTTCTCAGGCACATGAGTAGGGAGCCGGATCGGAAGTAGTGTGCCCAGGATGACTACCTGGCAATCCAATAAGGGAGGCTGCTTGTGAACATCAATACCAGCCTCTAGGTTCAGACTTGGAGTGAGCACTCACATTTCTGTCTCTAGTATTCAAAAGGCAGAGAGAGACACTCAGAGATCTCTTTTTACTGGTTTATTCCCAAAATCCTTGCAACAGCTGGGGCTAGGCCAGATGGAAGCTAGGAGCCCAGAACTCACACCAGGTCTCCCCAAGGGTGGCAGGGACCCGAGTTCTTGAACCACTCTCAGTGCTTCCCAGAGTGTGCACCAGCAAGAAAATGCACTTGGAAGCAGAAGTGGATCTCAATCCGAGGCACTGTGATGTGGGACATCAGCATTTTATCCACTGCACTGAGCACCCTGCACCTGGCCATTCTGCCATTTGTGGAAGGAGTAATCAACTGGCCTTGGGTGATGGGGTGTGTCCCGTGACAGCACATGCTGGCATGCTGTGGGGCTCAGCTCAGAGCTCTGCCTTCTTTTCCCTCTGGCCTCTCTCCTTCCCTAAGCCTGTATTCTGTAGCTCCTCCAGCCCAGCTGCTGTGACGCAGCAGAGACCATTCTCAGTAACAGCTGCAAACGCTGTGCTTCCGCTTGCCTTGTAGGAGCCACTTCACTTAAAAAATCCAAGGAATCCCTGCTCCCCTCTGGCCTTCTCCTCCCTGCCTAGCCTCGCTATGGTGCACTCTAAGCTCCTGCATCCCAGCCCCACAATAAAGGTGGGAGTGGTGATGGGGGATCTCCCCACTTTCCCCCACCAGGATGGCAGCCTCCCATGAGACAGGAATGCAAGGCAGAGCACCCTTCCCTCCTGGAGTTGGGGGAGGAAGGTCCAGCCCATGGACCATATAAGGCCCACAGTCATTCAGTCTGGCCCTGCCAAGGTCTCTGTGGATGGGACTCAAAATTCGAGACTTGTATCATGGGCTCTCAATCCTTAGGCATTGGTTGTCAATGGGTGTTAGAAACATCCAGATGTGTCTTGGCAGAAACAAGGTTCCCAGTTGCCTAGACTGGCAGCAGGCATAACAAGTATCATTATTATTTTTTTTTTAAGATTTATTTATGTTTACTGGAAAGTCAGATTTACAGAGAGAGAAGGAAAGAGGAATATCTTCCATCCACTGGTTCATTCCCCAAATGACCACAACAGTCAGAACTGAGTTGATCCAAAGTTGGGAACCAGAAGCTTCCTTTGAGTATCCCACCCAGGTGCAGGGTCCCAAGGACTTGGGCCATCCTCCACTGCTTTCCCTGGCCATAAACAGGGAGCTGGACCAGAAGTGGAGCATCTGGAAGACGAACTGATACCCATATGAGATGCTGGTGCTTATAGACACAGGATTAGCATGCTGTGCCACCCCATTGGTCCCACATTCATCATTGTTAAGAGGTGGCCACAACCCTCCGTGTTTTTCTCCGTGCACTCCAGATCCTTAGGCAACCCCACTAAGGCTTGGCCCTGAGGTCCAGCTGGCAGGCCATCTGATGTCATCGTGGACACCAACTGCTCTGCACTTGGAGACACCGTGTTGTGAGGCGGTTACAGCACTCTAAGGCAGTGGGGAGACTAGAAGTCAGGTCGTGAGGGGACAGGGATGTGGTCAGGAGTCAGCGAGGCTGAGCGCTTCCCAGCAGTTTTAACTTTCAGGGCTAGAGGCAGGATCTCGACAACAACCCTCACCCCTGCTCTTGGTTTCTGATGTAAAGAGCAGGAAAGACTCGGGTGCTGCCAGGGCCATGGAGAGGGGGCTGGAGAGGGGGCTGGAGGAGAGGGGGCAGGAGGAAAGGGGCAAGGGGAAAGGGAGCATGGAGAGGGGGCAAGCGGAGACGGGGCAAGCGGAGAGGGGGCTGTAGGAGAGGCCTGCCCTAAGGAGCACAGCTTGGGAAGCCACCAGAGTTGAGTTGTTTGTGCTTCCATTGAACTAATGCCCTGCCAGTGTGCCTGAGCAAGAGATTTGTCCCCTCAGGGCTCGCTGTTCCCGTCTGCAGAATGGGTGTGACCTTAGTATCTGCCACGGGGTGGTTGGAGGCAGTCAATGAAATGTCCTTGGCCTGGATTACAAGGTTTTGTCAAAGAACATTTCTCTCTGCTTCACTTGGGGTAAAAATGATTCCTGCTTATAGGAGACGGGAACCAACTCTGGCCCTCGTTGCCCTGTACTGCAGGTGATCTCACCAATGTGCTTGGCCCCTGCAGAACCCACTGAAACCCTGAAACTTCCAACACTCTTCCAGACTCACATCCAAAATTTCCTGGAAAATGGAGTGAAAAGATAAGACACATTTTTCCATCAACAGTTTAAAGAGCCCTTGCCTTATATAAATCACGGCATTTAGGATCAGTTACCTGTAGCCTCTAATTGTCAGCATCATTCATTAAGCTTTTTTTTTAAATGAATAAAATCTAATACTTTTGACATTCGTTATATTGAGGGTGATTGGCATGTACGTATTTTTGAGGATGGACGGTCATTTATATAGGAAAATCGGCAAAATTGTATACACACTTATGGGAAGGTGGACATGTTGAATGGAAAGGAAGACTAGGGGCTGGGGTGGTAGCGTATGCCATCATCCCCTCCAAGTGCCAGTTTGAGTCCTGTCTGCTCTGCTTCTGACCCGGCTCCCTGCTAACACATTTGGGAGAGCAGCAGAAGATGGCCCAAGTGTTGAGGCCCCTGCCACCCACATGGGAAACACATACGGAATTCCTTGTTCCTGGCTTCAACCTGGACTCATGCCAGCCACTGTGGCCATTTGAGCAGTGAACCAGGAAAGGAAAGATTTCCCTTTAGTCTCTCCCACGCGCGTGTGTATGTGTAAGAGAGAGACTCTGTCAAGTAAATAAATATCGTTTAGAAAGAAACAGTGACTAGAGCCCATGATCAAGTAAAGAGGAGATAGATTTAGAGAAGTGAAGTTGAGGCACATGCAATGCCTGAGGTTACCGTGACATGTGAACCTTCAGAGAGGTGGCTGAGAATGGGGAGGTGGCATCTTATAGGAAACAGGTGGAAGGATTTGTTCACGTGTTCAGCTCATGTCAGTATTAAAGGCTGAGTGTCCCTTTCCAAACCGCCTGGGACTAAAGGTAATATCTATCTGCATGTGTATAAGGAGGTGTCTTGGGGATGGGATAGAGTCTTAGATATAATTCATGTGTAATCCACATGCACACTACCTTAGCCTGCAGGTGATTGTAGGCAGTGATGTAGTGTGCCTGCTCCTTGACTCGGACCTGTCCCATGAAGTCAGGAGTGGGACTTTGCTCTTCTGGTTTCCTGCAAGGGTCCTCAAAATGCTCAGGATTTTGAAAGTTTCAATTTGACAGTTTTGAATTAGGGGTGCTGCAGCTGTAACACACTAATACTGTGTTCCAGGCACTGGGGAATGAAGAGTAAAAACAAGAGCCGAGATCTTTGCTCCGGCATGTTGTATGTGCTGGTATAAGGCAGGAGGCCAGCAGACAATAAGCAAAGACAATGACAAACATGCCCCCCATGGTCGAGTGAGGCACAGGGCTAAGCAGGAGAGTGAAGCAGAGGGGGCACGTTGGTAGCGCCAGGGGGAAGCTGCAGTTT